AGTTCAGGATATGGCCTCTATAGCCAGAGTGTCTGGAGTCGAATCCTGACTTCGTTACTTTGGCAAATGCAGTTCTATGAACTTGGGTAAACATCTAGCCCCAGTTTATAGAAAAGAAAAAAACAAAAACAAAACTGAAAACTTTCCCGATTGAGTTGAGGATTAGATGGCATGAAGAGTAGCATGGAGCATAATGCCTACTAAACACTCAGATGTTAACTCCAACAACAGCAGTAATAAAACACAAACTGAATATTCCACACTCCTGTGTAAAACCCTCGACCTTCACCATTTCCTCCACCATAAGCCCAAGCCCCTTGGCTAGCTGTGTAAGCCCAGCTCCCCTTTAGGGTCACTGTCACCGTCCCCTCCAGCATTGGGTCGGTCAGAACCATGGCCCACGGCCCACAGCCCACAGCCCACAGTGATCCATGCTTTGCCTCGTCTTGTGCTCGAACACACATAGTGCTGTTTACCTTGAATACCTCATTGATATTCAGTGAGAAAATGCCATTTAGACATTGTGTGTATCCTTCATTTTGGTGACTCTCCTGTGTTGAGTCAGTTGGTACTTTGAAAGTTATTTAACTTTGCTTCCTAAAAATCTTAATTCTAAATAAGAAATCTTATTTTTCTTATATAAATAAAATAAATGACTTAGCAAAGTTGTAAAATTTTTGGTCCAAAATAAGGTGTGGCCGTGAACTACTGAGATATACTTGTCCTTGTGCATCTACATCATCTCTGTTACACACGAGGCAGAAACATTTACACTGAGGTAACGTTGTGTCAGACCACCAATCACGCCTTCAGGCATAAAGCCAACTCGTGTTCATCAGTTGTCTTCAGTGAACTCCAGTTTCCTTTTTTCTTAACGGAGTGAGATGAGACTTGGCTTATTTAGCATTCCACCAGGAAAACAATCGAGTTCTCGGAGAGGTGCGTTAGAGGACAGTTAGGCCAGTCTTATTTACATGAACTCTTCCTGTTGCAAGAGATCGATTGCTTAAGCAAAGGGTGGAGATATTGGTACATTTGATATGATTGGCTCATGTAATCTGGGCATAGCCTGGTGCTCAGACTTTGGTTTCTAGACACCATTTACCATATGAATGGACAGATCTGCTTGGAGAAATGGCTGATTCCTGAACGGGGGCAGAGAAAACATGAGATCGGCAGGGGGCAACTTGACCGAAGGAAATAGTCATGTTGAAAGGACACAGGAACCAGTTTGAAGGCACCCCCAGTGCTCAAATTTGGGGCAATGTGACCATCAAAAAGAATGATGGCAATTGGTTATTACACGAGCAGAAAAAAAGTGTATGGGGCAGTAGAAGGGCGGGGAAGGTTTTGTTTGGGTACTAAAACCAGCTAAGTGTGGAGGGAATGATGGAATTAGAAAAATCACTATTTTACAGTCTCAAATGGAATAATCGAAACAAGAATTATCAACAGATGCTAACTCCATGATGAAAAATAATTGGGAAATAGGCCAGCCACATGGTACCAAGTTATCACCCCAGGTTTTTGTTTTAACTGATATAAAGGAGGACGTGTACCTTTACAATAGAGAGATATGGCAGTAACCATCTTAACTAAGTGATCAAGCTTAGCACCTGGAACAATGGGATAAATAACATTCTGTGTCTCCTGATGTGATGAAATAGGAAGTATTTTTGCCAAAAAGTATTCGACTTGGATCTAGACTTAGCTTTTGGGTCACAGGAAATACAGGTGATGGAGGAACAGATTTAATAATACCATGAGAAAATAATGAGAATGCAAAATGTGGAACATTCTATAAGACAACCAGTCTGAAAAAAAGGGGGACAGCAGGATTTTTTTACATTAAAGGATACTACAATGGTAAAGCAACCAACTGCAATGGATTCTAGATTGGGGGACACATAGTATAAAAAGACATTGGTGGACAACAGGAAGTTTGAATATGGAATGGATATTAGATAATATGGAATTGTTAATTTTCTTATGTGTGATCACAGTATTGTGGGGATGCAGCTTTATTCCTAGGAGATAGATGCATTGAGTTATTTAGAAGTGAAGTACCACAATGTCTGCAGAATAAGATTTATAAATAAAGAGCTGGCACACCAAGGCGTATAGGGTGGTAGATCTCAGTTGTTGAGTCGATGGGGTGTTCATGGTGTTCTTTCAACTTTTCTTTTGGTTTGAGTTTTTTTTTTTAAATTTAACATGATGAAAACAAGGCAAAATCCTGGGGTGGACAGGCTGTGAGGCCCAGCTGAGTCCAAGGCCTCTGTGATGACTGTTTCTGAACTTGCACAGGGCCAGACACCCAAGAACATTAAGTGATTGTGTTCCTGGTGTTATCAGCCCAATTTGGGATAACTGTGAAAATCTCTAGATAAGATTAATACAGAAGCTTGGGGTAGAACCTCGTCTTCCTCATTTTTAGCATTTCCAGCATTTGGGAACATGGCAGGCATTCGAAAACTGTCGACCGAAAAAATATGTCAGTTAAGGGGTGACCAAATTTAAGCATTGCCTAGAAAAGTGAGAGCACACTGTGACATTTTTCAAAGCCAGTAAATATTTGTGGAATGTAACAGAATGGAGCTAGTTAAGGGGTGAGGAAGGTCAAGACTGGCTCGAGACAGGAGCGGAAGGCCTGTTTTTATTATTTTAAAATCCCCTCTTGCACGCATGCAGTAGTGGCTACACTTGGGTGAAAGTCTACTGTAGTTTTTCCCACACGGGGGATGTTGGAGTTTGGAGGCAGGTGCAATGTTTTGTTCTTCGGTGAGCGATGAGTCAGGCACTTAATTATGTAAAAAATATGGCAAGACAGCAGTTGCAGAAGCCCCAAGAGAGTAATTATTATCTGTCTGGGCCGAAGGCAAGGCTTTTCATCTGTAAATAAGCGGTTCTGTGCGGAAGAGCTACACGCAGAGCAGTCCTGTGTCATAAAGGTCTCCCCCTGGAGTTTTCAAAGTGGAAGCAGTGACTGCGTCTGCCCCTGGCTGCTGCCTCCTGTGCTGCAAAGGGCTTCTGACGCGTCCCCTGTGGCTTTCACCCTCCTGGAACCTTTCAGCGTGTCAGGATTCCTGTAAAGGGGGACAAACTGCATCGGAGTCAAGCCCATGGAAAAACCTGAATGTTTCTAATGGAGAGGAAGTAACATGCGCCTCCTGTGAATTATGAACAAACCAAGATGAGAAACAAAAACCAAAACAAAACACTGAGTGCTTAAAGAAAAGAAACCAGAGATGCCGTCATTAAGCTACTGGGGCTCTCTTACGTACTGGAGGTGAATGATTTCATTTCTACATGTGCCATTGCAGGTAGTGGTTCCAAAAAGGATGAATTCACTTTGAGAGCATGTGCGTCCTTTGCTTAGGTGGATCTGAGTCTTTTTGACAGTGGTAGGACATTCAGTTGGTTTTTGACGTTGTCCATGGCGTCTGCCTTCTCTCTTGGCCCCTATGAGTGCTGACGAGCTGAGCAGGCTCTCCGCCAAGGCCAGCTTTTCCACATGACAGTTCAAGGACTTCATTTAAGTGACTGTCCCTCTCTCTTGCATGACTTAGTTTTCCCTCTCTATCAGGTTTTCCCCATCAAACTAGGAACATGTTGGAACCGCTTCCATTGTTTTTAAAAAGCTTTCCCTCATCGTCTCTCTGACTACCTCCTCAATCCTCTGTTCCCCTTCGCAGCATAATTCCAGAGTCAGTATTTTATCTTTACTTTTTGTCTTCCCATTGTCTCTGAACCTGCTCCAATCATCTGGTCATCCCAGTCCTCCAAGGGCACCTGCTTTTGTCAAGGTGTACCCATGACCTTCACCCTGCCGGGTTCCGTGGACAGTGCTTGGTCGAAATCTCATTTACCATCATCATCAGCGGACCCAGTCCATCACTCCTTCCTAGAAACACGTTCTTTACCTGGCTTCAGGGCAAACTTGCTCTCTTGGTTATTCTTTCTCACCAGTCACTCTTCTCAGCCTCTTCCCTGATCTCCTATGCTTACGTGGCTGCAGTCCTCCCCTCTCCTTTGCCTTCTCCCAGAGTCATGTCAGACAATATCATGGCAAAACGTTGTATACACTCGAAAGACTCCCAAATGTGTGCCTGGAGTACACACCGGCACCCTGGACTCCAGACTGGTATATCCAGCTGCCTGCTGCCCACATCCCTTGGATGATGAACGGGCATCTCAACTTTAACACAAAGATCACACCCAGTCTTTCCACAGTTCTCTCTCGCCTGGACTGTTGCAACAGCCCCGTCTGGTTTGCCCACCTACCCTTGCTCAAGCCCCTTTTAATCAGTATTCAAAACAGCCTGAAAGACCCTTGAAAAGTATCAGATTATGTCCCTGCTCTGCCCCACTGTCTCCAGCGACTTCCTGTCTCAATCAGGGTAAAAGCGTGTCCGCAGGTCCTTCACCCTCTGGTCCTCTCAGGTTTCTGTGCACCTCCCACCTCTTCTGGTCACGCACGCTGCCCAGACCATCTCGGCGCCGCCTCAGACACCCCGACTTCTGCCGCAGGGCCCTGGGTGGGGCTCCTGCAGGCTGCAGCGCTCTGTCCTGTAATTGTTCGGGGCTTGCTCCTCACCACCTCCGGGCCGCTGCTTGCCTGTCCTCGGCTCCCCGACACCTCCCTTCTCTCACCATCCCGTTTGCGCTCCCTCCACCCCGCCGGACCAGCACTCCCGAGCCCTCCTCCTGGCTTTACTGTCCTCTTCTGCGCTTATCACCACGTGAAAATACAAACCTTTCTGTTGTTGTTGCTGAGTTTGCCCTTGTCTGCCTTGTTCGCAGTAGACGGACACGTGGGCACCTCGTTCGCAGCCGTGCCCTGTGCCCGGGAGCGGGCACGCAGTGGTCCTGCCGAAGGAGTGACCGGGGAGCAGCCTCCGAGGCTGGGGGCTCCTCCTGCCTTCTTCCGCGTCCCGGGTGTGACCAGTCGGCAGCTCAGGGTGACGCACAGCATACTAACCGCTATTTCTGTTCCTCAGTTTCTCTGTTTGAAGAACATCCGGACATTCCTCACGGCCTGTTGCGAGACGTTTGGAATGAGAAAGAGTGAACTCTTTGAGGCGTTTGACCTGTTTGATGTCCGTGACTTTGGAAAGGTAATTGTACATTTCCTTTTTAATTTTTTTTTTATTGGAGAACTTTTAATCAAATACTGTTTCTTATCTTGTTAAAATAGGACATGTGACTTAAGTGACCTTCGTATCTGAATTATGTTAAATTTCACATTGGTGGCTTATCCTGAAACAAAACAAAACAAAGACAGTGGTGGTAGCAATGGTCACTATGAGATTAGAATTGATTTTTAGTTAAAGCAGTATAAGAGGAATCTTTTATCCGGAGGTACCTTTTCCTGCTGATTACGTAGGAGGGTAGGGTTACTGTATTTCATCCTTCAGATAGTTGGTTGGGCCTTGGGTCTGAGGATCAGTATTCTTTCCTTCCAGTCTTCTTGATACTCCAAGTACTCCCAATTTTTGGCAGTTGGGAATGTTCTGTTGCCCCTCAATTGTTTTGACTTGGGGAAGACATGAATCACTGAAATGTTTGAGTGTTAAATAACTCCTTTGCTTGAATTTCAGCAGACTTCTGTTGGATTTCAATGACATCTGTCACATGGAAATGTTTTAATCTTAACATTTAATGTAAATGTTATCATGTATACACCAAACACTTGTGTAGAGTAGGTGACTGAAATCATGCTTTCAAAAGTGATGGTCTTTCTTTTGTAGCTATTGGGCTTAAAGTTAAACTGCTTACATGTAAGAAGCCATAAAAGAGACAGGTAGTTAAGGTGACCTTTTTTAGCCCCTGCTGATATAATTGCTTTATGAAACTAAGCACACAAGAAGGGAAAAACAAAACACAAAACTAAACTAGATGATATCGAGAGGTTTGCCCTTACTCATATAATTCAGTTGTCTTGAGATCCAGAAAACATGCCGGAGGGTAACATTTGATAACAAGTATGAGGAACTGAAAACCACGTCTCCTGTGAGGAGGTGGTGGCACATTGTCCAGGGCCATGAACTGAAGCGGTGAAGCCAAAGAGGAGTCAGATAGAACCCCAGCGGGGGGTGGGGATGGGGGTGGGGGGGCGTTCTCAAAGCTGTTGGCCCCGTAAAACACCCTAACAGCTTAAAAAGATATTTCTTTTTCTACCTTTTGACACTTTTCCCTATTTTTATTTTTATCCTCACCCGAGGACATTTTTACACTGTTCAGACAGAGCGGGAGGAGAGAGAGAAACATCGATGTGAAAGGGACACATCGAGTGGCTGCCACCCGCACGACCAACCAGGGCCGGGGACAAACTGCAACCAAGGTACATGCCCTTAGCGGGAACCGAACCCGGGTCTCTCTGGACCGCAGGCCAACGCTCTAACCGCTGAGCCAAACCGGCCAGGGCTATTTTTATTTTTTTAATCTTTGATTTTCCTTTTTTTCCACCCTCTCTTTTAGGGAAATGAAAAATAGAAATGAATTGGGGAAATGAAAAATGGGGGGAGGGTCTAGATTTTACAAAGCTTTTCAAAGAGCCCTTCATATTTCCTTCAAGTTGGAGAGACATGGTATTGACAGACCAGGGGGTCATATGAATCCTTTGGAAATGCTGGATTGATTAGACCTGCTGGAGGGGCGTCGAGATTATAAAGAGCTGATCACAAAGGAATACATTGTATGGTTCTCCTGGGTAAATGTATTTCTGGCTCCCTAGAAGATTTTGGCAGTGGCAAGTTGGAAGCAGAACTTGATCCTCTTCTTACCACTTGCAGTTAATCACACACATTTTTACGGCTGCTGACATTGGTGCAGCGAGCTTGTCAGAACTACCTACCTGAGACCTACACAAATCGCTGAAAATGAGAGAATGCAGGACGCTGCCCCATCATTTACCAGCATCACTCCTGTGAAACGTTTTTACTCAAAGCAAAACTATCAAAACCCCCGCTTATTGAACACTTTTAGTCTAAGAGGTATCTTTTCAATCTTTGTATGTGTATTTTTTTCGTCATCGCAGCCCTAGGAAGTGTAAGTACTTTTATTTTCCTCCTCGTCCAGAGGAGAAAACCGCAAGTCACATGTCTAGCAGAGGTGGAGCTGGTGGCTGGAACCAGGCCTGGTGGTTCTCCACTGCGGTGTGTGTGGACATCACGCACGGGTGCCGTGTGCCAGCAGCTTCCAGGTCTTTGCACACGCTGACCCCGTTCCCCCAGTGCCGCGTGGAGGTGCTCTCAGCGCCCTCAGTGCCAAAGCCTAGGTTCCAAGCAATGGGGTTGGATAACTCATGCAGTGTTTAGTTTTTAAGTTTAAAAAGCCTGAACAGAGTGTTAATTTACACACAAAATAATTCCTGATATTGTGAATATAAATTTTAACAGGATGTAGTAGACAGGTGAGCTTATTTCTCTCCATTCCTTGGAGTTTAACTAAATGTTCAATGAACTTAAAATGAACAATATCTATATCTGTGCGCTTCTCTCTGCCTCAATTCATACAAATAGTGAACCTAGGATTCATGTATACTTGGCAACGTTTTGCTTGGGAATATATTACTTGCAATAACAGTATCTAATGTTTTTATGGCATTTTGAAGCTTTCAGAGTGCTTTGTATCACTGACCTCATTTGATTTTCCTAATGGTCTTACGAAGGGAACTGATAGGAAACTGAGAGATGGGGAGGTTAAACGGTGGGGTCAAGGTCTCCCTGTGTAGGGACAGAGCCGGATCCCGAGCTCAGGCCTCTGACTGCCCAGGCCTCTGCTTTTCTAGTCTGCCTTCCATGATTTGGGTCTCACTGCTGTGTGGATGCTCAGGGGAAAGGATGAACTCATAGGAGAAAACCAAAGAAATTTACAAAATTTAAAAGCACAAGTGATGTCACTTGGTATTTAATTACACGTTGTCTTAGAAAGAGGAAGATGGTAGGATACTGCGTGAATCCACACAGAGTGGTGGTTTAAGGCTAATCACGGATTCTGGTCTGTACAGACAATCCACCTTCAGCCACACCTTCTCTTTCCTCATTGTGGTGCCTTCTCCCTGATTTTTGTCCAGGCTTTCTCTCTGTTTGGGTTCAGGAAATCTGCCTTGAATCCTAGACTCTGACATGGATGCGTCTTCTTTTGGAAATCGGGAAAAGGCTGTGAAAGTGCCAACCAATACAAACGTACAGATTTTCACGTAGTGACTGTGATGGCGAAGGGCATACATTTGGGGCACTCTAGAAGACCTGAGATAATTTTCCTTGCAGAGTCACCTTTCTTTTCTAGGATTGAGCTCTGTACCCAGTGTTAATAGGGTATTCATTTCAATTCAAACTCATATGTCAAGAAAAATCAGAATAGTTCTGAACACTTCCTATACCTTGATTTCAAAACAAACAAACATACAAACAAACAAAAAACATCACCCAGGGATGGAGAGTGAATGTAGTAACCTGAACTCATTGAGGAGTCAGCAGAGACCTTGAGGTTAACCGTGACTCTCACTCTCGGTGTGGTGAATACTGAGAAAGGTTCCTGACAGAGGGGAACCCTCGTCTGAGACCGCTGCTGATGCACTCGTCCTGTTCTGAAGTGGGCAGAGGCTCTTTAAAATTAAATTTATTGGGTGTAACATTGGTTAATATCTGTATGTTGCATTGTGTCCTCACTACCCAAAGTCAAGTCTCCTTCTATCACCATATATTTAATCCCCTTTACCCTCTTCAGCTTCCCACATCCCCCTTCCCTTCTGGTAACGTTCCTACGGCCTGTGTCTGTCACACATATGGATGAAATCACATGTATGGTTTTTGTCCTTTTCCGTCTGACGTATTTTGCTTAGTATCATATTCTCAAGATCCATCTATGTTGTCGTAAGTGGTAGCTGTCACCTTTTCTCATGGCTGAGTGGTGTTCCCTTGTATGTAGGTACCACTCTTCGTTTTCCAGTCCATCGAAAGACGCCGGAGCTGTCTCCATGTCTCGGTGACTGTGAATAATGCTGCAGTGAACATAGGGCCGCATATATGTTTATGAATAAATGCTTTGACACTTTTTGGGTAGATATTGGGTGTCCTTTTAAGAACCCTTATAGCTTCTCTCTCTGGCTTCAGGTTTATGTTTTCATGCAATTCTGAAAAAACCTTTACTTTCTTACTGTTAAAAAAGATGGATCCTTTTTTGGCTTTCTAGTAACAAAAATAGTAAACTCTTGTTAGTTGGCTTCTTTGCTTGAGAAACAGTATTAAAAAAACCTTTTCCCTGGAATATTGAATACTAGGAATTATGTTTCTTTGTACATTGCAACAGAATTTGTAGGTTTGCTCACCTCCATCCTGCACCTGAAGGGTTTTCTATTCCTTTGTTCAGGTTGTCATTTTCTGATGAACATTCTTGCTGTTCATCGGCACATTTGCAGTGCAAAAGCACATAGGGCATTTCTTTAATGAGGTCCTTTGTAGTGAGTAATAATAATTAGGCTGCTGCTGCCTCAATGAGAGATGAAGTCAGCTCCTTCCCCTGGTGGCTCTGGGTGGGCATGAAGCCTGCTTCCTGCTGCCCATGGACCTCACGGCTATTGTTTCAATTATTAGGAAGCACCTTACGAGTGTAAGGTGACATGTGTTCTTGAATCAAAGAGAGTCACACCTGGCCAAAATAATTCCAGCTGATTTTAGTAGCAATAGGATAGTTTCATTAAGGCTCAGGACAGGTACTGTCAAAAGGAATACAGAGCATTGGTGTAAAGGTGGGGCAAGGGCACAAGTAAGAACATTACTGAGAAGAGGTAGTGTCATGTTTTGGTTAAGAACACGATTTCTGAGTTGGATCGGAGTTTCAGTTCCAGCTCTGTTTCTTACTCGTATGTGACCTTGGCAAGTTTCTTAACCTCTTTGAGCTTCAGTTTCCCACCTATACGTTGAGGTTAGATGAGAAATGAAGTAATGTTTGTAAAGTACTTAACAGTACCTAGGTCCAATGTATGTAATATTGGTAAGTATTAGCTGTTATTCTTATTGTTGCTATGATTACAACTATCATCACTAGTGTTAATTGGTTTTAGATTCAGTGGTAAACATAGGGGTTGCATTTCTAACTGAGTACAAGTACT